GCTCTTTAGTTTAGTTAAGTCCTGTTTGTCTATTTTTGTTTTTGTTGCATTTCCTTTTGAAGTCATAGTCATAAATTCCCTGCCTAGGCCAAGGTCCTGAAGAGTTTCTTCTAGGTTTTCTCCTAGGATTTTTATAGGTTCAGGTTTACATTTAAGTCTTTAATCCATCTTGACTTAATTTTTGTATATGGTGAGAGATATGGGGCTAGTTTCATTCTTCTACATATTGCTATCCAATTTTCCCAGCACTATTTATTAGATAGGGAGTCCTTTCCCAATTGTATATTTTTGTCAACTTTGTGGAAAATCAGTTGGTTGTAGACATGTGGCTTTATTTTGGGGTTTTCTCTTCTGTTCTATTGATCTATGTGTCTATTTGTATACCGGTGTCATGCTGTTTTGGTTACTGTGGCCTTGCAGCATGCTTTGAAGTCAGGTATTATGATGCCTCCAGCTTTGTTCTTTTTGCTTAGGATTGCTTTGGCTATTTGGGCTCTTTTTGGTTCCATATGAATTTTAGGATTTCTTTTTCTAATTCTATGAAAATTGATGTCCAACAAGGACCTTATAATTGGAAAGGGTAAAAGAGCCACATGCAAATGGAGACCCCAGAAGACAACACTTCACTCATTTAAAGGTCTTGGAGAAAGATACAGATGTAGAAGTATTTGAAGAATTGCAGAAAACAGAAGTGTCAAACTTCTGGAGCTGTGGAACACTAAATAATTACTTGGAAAAATAAATTACAGACATTATAGTCTAGATACCAAAGTTGATGATTTTCAGCAAAATTCTAGAATAGATGATCAGGCAATGCCAGACTGACTTGGTTGATTGTCGGCTCTACCACTTACCAGCTATATGGCTTTTGGCAAGTTATGTAACCTCTCTATGCCTCAGTTTCCTCAGCTGTAAAATTAGAATACTCTTAATATCAGTCTTACAAGGATGTTATAAACATTAAATTATGTTAAGACATGTAGAAGATTCTAGCCACATAATAAGTGCTCTATAAGATTGGGTATTGTATTTTTATTATGGTTACTGTTACTAACACTTAAAAATGAAGCTATGATCAATAGAAGATATCTCAACTAAGAATGAACCATACTTTAAATAAACATGTTGCGCTTTTTTAAAAAAACTTTTTGGTTGCTTATTCGAGGGTATTTCCTACACGTGTTTGGATGATAGGAAAGTCCCTTGACAGAGTCTTTACTACTTTTCTCATGAGCGTAACAATGGTTTCCTTGTGTGAGAGGTAGTTGACTAGGAAATATTGTAATAGGGCAAATAATTTAGTATACTTTTTGCTCTTAAAAGCTATACAGAATACTGGGAGAAGTTACAGTCTAGATTTTTGCTTGTTAAACACAACTTTATAATAATTAAAGTTGATCCAAAATCATTAACTTTTAGAGTTGAAGGGAGTTTGAGGGACCTTCCAGTCCAAACATTCATATTATAGGTGAACATCCGAGGCTAAGAGAGATCCAGTGATTTTCCTGAAGCCACACAGCTAGTTTGTAGCCTAGCCAAGACTTGAACCCACAGTTTTGGGGTACTAAATGTGTTTGAAGCTAAGCTCAGTTAGGCAGAAAGTCACAGTATAGATCATATTTGTTTCTCTCTTTGGGTACTGTTTATAGGTGGCTATTTCTTCACTGCAGTAATACAACATTAAGGTGCTATTTTGTTTTTTTGTTGTTGATTTTTTTTTTTTTTTTTTTTTTTGGATGGATTCTCCCTCTGTCGCCCAGGCTGGAGTACAATGGCATGATCTCGGCTCACTGCAACTTCTGCCTCCTAGGTTCAAACGATTCTCCTGCCTCTGCCTCCCAAGTAGCAGGGATTACAGGCGCCTGCCACCACACGTGGCTAATTTTTGTATGTTTAGCAGAGATGAGGTTTCACCATGTTGACCAGGCTGGTCTCGAACTCCTGACCTCAGGTGATCCACCCACCTCAGCCTCCCAAAGTGCTGGGATTACAGGCATAAGCCACCGCACCCGGCCCAAGGTGCTGTTAGTACCCATTGGCTGACCTTCATGGTACAGGTAATTAAGTTACCTGTTCTTACTCCAGGCACTGCTTTGCCCACTTCGTCTCCAGTGGTATTCACTGAGGGGTTTAGATAATATTCTTGAAGCCACACAGGAGCCTAAGATTTGGAACAGATTGAGTGTATCTCTCTGAGTAACATGAAGAACAAGCTTCACTGTCTGGTCTGTGAATTGCAAACTTGCCTTCCGAATTTTTTTAAATTTAAATGCCTGTAGGCAATGCAAGCCTCCTCTAATTTGCTGGAGACTCCAGCACCTTTCTGCCTCTTGAAGGAGAGTAAGTTGTGATCCTGACACAGAACTCCAGAAGTGTTCCACATGGATGTGCCTTCAACGCCAGACACTTTCTATCACAGCCCCATTTCTTGTTGTTAGGCTTTTCCCTGTCAGTTTTCCTCAGCCCCTCCCTCTTCCCAGGAAGCAACAATCCTCTTCACACTACTTGCTACTTTCTTTCCTTATTGGTTTCTGAACACATCATGGCTTCTGCCAACTGCCAACTGTAAATGCTTTTGAGGAGAAGGGTGGCTTCTGGTCTCAGTGCTTTCTATTTTGAGGAGGAATGGGGAGAACTATGGCTAATGGAGAAGGACAGGAAAGAGTGGGAAAGCTTCATCTGCGGGTTACAATTGTCCTTTTCTTATAGTATCCAAAGTCAGACACACTTCACCGCAATATGAATTATTTCTCTTCTGAAATTCCCATCAATTCTAAGTCAGAAACTCATGTTTTTCAAGTTAACATAACGTTGACAACTCTTCTTGCAAAAAAAAAAAAAAAAAAAAAACCCTGGCCTTTGAATGTTAATAGTGTATTCTGTTTCTCATTACATTAGTTATATTTGTAAACTTCTTGACACTAACTGTCACTGAATAGAACTGCCATTTGAATTAGCGAAGAGCAGTTTGTCCAGGCCCAAACTTCTCTCCTCTAAAAGTTAGGTCTCGACTGCAGGAAGTGATGAAAGAATTTTTGGCTCACATCTACTCCCCTATCCTAACTTATTAAAAACTCCAAAAACATTTATTGAATACCAGTTATGCTCTGGGCACTGTGTTATTTATCTCTGCATTCCCAGTGTCTAAGGCAGAACTTTTGCCCTAGAGGAGATGACAGCATTTCTGTGGTTTTCAGTTTTATGAAATCCAATGGAGAAGAATGTCAACAAGAGCTGGAGGAGTCTGGGAAAGCCTCATGAATCAACTGAAGACTTCAGTGGACTCTGTGGGATTTGGGTGCCCGGAAGAGATAGGAAAGGTGTTCTCCATCAAGGAAGCAGCATATCTGCAGGCATGGAGACGTGACTGGCAATAGAAGAGGAGAGTCAGTGGATTCTAGAGGAAGGTCAGCACAGTATTAACAATGAAAAGTGTAGGTGAGAAAGTCAAGTTCAAAAGTTTATTCTTTTTAAAATTCATTTTATCTTTATAGATTTTGGGGGTAAAGTGCAGTTTTGTTACACTGATATGTTTCATAGTGATGAAATCTGGGAATTTAGTGTAACCATCACCCAATTAGTATATATTGTACCCATTAGGTAATTTCTTATTCCTCGCCTCCCTCCCACCTTCCACCTCTTCCAGTCTCCAGTGTCTATTATTCCACCAGAAGTTTATTCATAACAAATTTATCTGGCTCCAGAAAGGAAATTCCTTTGCCTATTCAACATTTCTTGCATATCTTCTGTGTGCCAAGCACTGTGCTAGAGTTTTAGAATAAAGAGGTGAACAAGACACAGTTCGTCCTATTGAGCAGCATACAGTCTAATGATGATAATTCAAGATCTCTCCAAATGCAACAAGGAGCACCACACCCAACTCCAGCACCATTTTGGAAAGATGACAGAGTAAAATAGAGAGAGCACAGATAGAGTAGAACAGTTATCCAGATGTTAAGAAAAACTTCCCCAAGCCCATATCATGCCCAAGCCCTTTCTAGGTATCACAGAATAAATAATACCACCCAACGTATCTTCCATTTTGTTAGCATTTACACGTTCACTCATTTTTAATTTAAAATTTAAAATTGAATGCCTATCATGTGTCAGGTATGATGTTAGATTCCGGGAATTCAGAAATGACCAAAATAGTCTCATTCCACCTCCTTCCTGGGTGTATAATCTATCATGGCTAGAGAATGTACTGTATTACGGGACTACATGAGAAACACCTAACATAAATTTTGGAAAGGTGGGGAGAGATCTGGGAGGGCTCCTTAAAGGCATCTAAACTGAGGATAAGTTACACAAAAAATAAGCTGAAAATTGTTCTAACCATGGGAAACAGCGTGTGAGAAGAGGAGAGAAGGTAAGATACATTTGATGGCACTCACAGAAGTTCATTTTAATATGAATAGTCCAGGCCTTATTGCTTTATCACTAAAGGCCATTTCCACGTAGTGATATTTAGAAAATACACAAAATGCTAGTATCAAAAAAGCTTGGAATTGTAGCCAGTCACACAACACATAGAAAGATTTCTAAGTGTCTTTGACTTTATGGCTGAAGTTCCTTAGAAGCAGAGCCCGAGGCAGTAATCAGGGTGCAGGTGATTCACTCAGGAACGTCAGGAAGAACCTGTAAAGGAAGCGGGATAATTAGGAAATTGAGCTGAGCAAGCGTGCTGTTTCAGGTGAGATCTAGCCTTGCTGATCCAAGGGGGAAGGGCTCTGTAGCAAAAACCACACCAGACAGCTGTCCTCCGCACTTCAGAAAAAGGGCCTGCTTTTTGTACCCGTAAAGCCAGTCATTGGCAGAAGGCATAACATTGGGAACCTACTTTCCTGGTTCTGACACATATATTTTAGCCCTTCCATCTTATTTTGTTTTCATTATTTTGACCACACAGTGTTTTCTAGAGCTAAGTAATACAATTACAGACTCCTGAGAAAATTGAGGAGGGAAGGAAACAGGTGTTGATGCTGTGATGCTTTTTTCAGTACTGCTGGAGTGCAGAGTGCGTGTGGAGGCAGGGAGTCGGCTGCGGAGAAACCAAGCCTGGAGAGGTAAGTAGGAAGCTGTGTGATGGGAAATATAGAAAAGCATCCAACTGTACTCACAATGAATTTAGGAAGACAGTTTCTCAAACGGAGGCCTGAAAATGTGGGCTTGTGTCTCAATGTGGCTTAGAAGACTTGCTAGTTTGTGTTGGTCTCTGATTTGTTCAAAGTGAATCATGGATTCCTGAAAAAACCATAAACTTGGTTTGCAGTTGTCTGGTGGTTAGAGCAACAGAGAGTATTTTTTTTCTGTCTTGTGATTGGGGTTGGAATGACATACTCCTGCAATGATTTTGTAGGGTCATAAAAGTAGATAAAGCTGCCAGAAACGACGTCCTCCACATGTTTCCTGTGTTTACCCCAACCTCCTCAAATTTGATCTTCCAGGAAAAAAAAATCACTTTATTTATACGTTCTGATATTTGAATTTCCATGTGTTTTATTTACCAAACACACTAGTTGGATATTCTTTTCCTAGTTAGGACTGTACTCAAGATAAAGATGCTCTTTGTTTTTGTTTTTAGAGTTGATGTCCTTTTTATGATGATTGTTAATTAATAAGACATCTTCTTTTATGGATAGTACATAGAGAACCTAATCATGCTGTTTAGACAACTAGCACTTAAAAAGTGATAGTGATTTATTCAGTTTTCTCATTTCTGGAGCATGTGGTCAGATGGCATATGTTTATAAACCACCATTCTGCTTCCAGTATTGTTCTTGACCTTGTTGGATGCTATGATGGAACAAATAGTAGAAATTATTCCTATTTATGAGGAAAAAACTAGTGGGAAGAAATAGAACAAAAGCTAGTTAAAATTCATATTCAGAAACAATAAAACTTATATATAAGAGGCAATTAACAGCTATGTTGTCACGGGGGCCCTTAACTCTGGGAGGGGGGGGAAATTTAGTGTTTCGTTATTACAAAACTGAATAATTAAATGCACATACACTTGGGTTTACATGACATTCGTCACTCAAAGTTCCTGTAAAAGAAGAGTAAATGGCTCATAGTATTCAAATGTTCTGTAGTTGTTTTGTAAGTAAGAACAGATGTGGTGGATGTGTACAGATAATTGGCAAAACGATTCAGGTGTGAACTTGATGTTTGTATTCAGGCTTCCTGACCATGAATGAGCACCAGAATTGCCCATAGGCTTTAAAACTGCTGTTTCCAGGGCTCATCTCAGACTAGTGAATTTGAATGTTTTTTAGTTCCAGGTTTGCATTTTCAGAAAGCTATGCAGATGGTTCTAATGCTAGACCAGAACTGAGAACTGTGCCCTAGGGGTTTATTTCAAAGCTGATATATGCCAGATCTGGAATATATCCAGAAGTGAGTATTCCAACCCAGGCTTCAACTGTCTGTCCTCCAAAGCTTTGAGGGTTCAGTTCCTCAATATGCTCTGCATTCCTCTGTCATATAGTTTCATGGAATCTGGGGATGGGGAAGAATTTATGGCTAACCAATTTACTAAACCATTTTCAGAATGTCCCAGAGGATAGCCTAGAAATACATCCACTCTAAGTTTCTCTCTTATATTCACTATAGAGCTATGTATTTCATGGAGCAGACTCATGTCTTAGAGATGCTGACAGCTGCTTGTGGTGGTTCCTGGGTCCAGCAGCTTTCCTAGGACATGTCTGCAAGTCCAAGAGCTTCTTCAGGAATACCAGCAGGGCTGGGGGAAGCAGCCAGAACTAAGGCAGTTGAGGGTAATTGATCTGGAAGGATCATGACCCCTATTTTCACGGGAAAAATTAAAGTGGTTTGTCGAGGAAAACCTTCTTGACACAAGACACAAAACTTTAAAACTCGTGTTCACAAGAACAATAAAAGAAACACAATAAATGGAAGTCTGGTAGAAAAACTGAAAGAAAATATTTGTAGCATAAATAAAGGTGAAGAATGACTATCCTATTACATGTCTATAATATATTGAGCTTCTATTTATTAACAAGAAAATAATAACCCAGTGGAAACATAGAAAAAGCATATAAACAAGTAGTTCGCAGAAGAAAATACAAATGGCCAACATAATGATTATGCCAAGTATGTTTCTGCCTAATTGTTTTTCAACTGCTGATCCCTCTGCTTGAAACCCTACTGCCTACAGATATCCTCATGACTCATCTTCTCACTTCCTTTGAGTCTCTGCTTTAATATCTTCTTATCAGAGATGCCTTCATACTCACTCTATATAAAATATCATGCCCCCACGTTACTATCTTCTGTCTCAGTACCTTATTTTGACTCATACAATTTATAAACATCTGACAGTTTTTTAAATTGTATACTACCCATTTCCGTGGAGTAAAAGATAAATTCCATGAGAATGAGGATGCTTTGCTCCATATCACCAGGATCTAAAAGAAGGCTTCCATATTGTCAAAAAAGAGTTGTTGATTTAATGAATAAAACTTATCTAATAATGAAGGAAAATAACATGATACTATATTTCTTTTCCCTGCCAGGTTGGCAACTTTTTAGGTACTCCCAGATACTGCCCAAGTTGCCTGCCAAAAAAATACACCACTTATAAACACACTAATTGAATATATCAAATTTAAAATCCACCTACCTTTCAATACTGCAATAAAGCAGGCATGTATGTTTTTGTGGCACTAATAGTGACAGCAAACACTTAGAAGCAAACTAAAAGGACATCAATGAGAAAATAGTTACATTGTTACACCCATATGGTACAGCATCAATCTAGAAAAATAATGAGGTAAATCTATATTATAGTAATAATAAAAAGTTCTGAGATATATGTTGGAACCGAACTGTCGATTCCCTCCTGGGCAGGGGTCGCCGCGAAGGATCACCGACACGAGATTCACAGCAGAGAGTTATTTATTACTAGCGCGCTAGGGTCCCAAGCTCTAAGTTGGCCCTGGGACCCCGACTGCTTGTTACAGGCTGTTTATATAGGCAAATACAAGTTCAAACACAGTTTATGGCGCAAAATTTAAACAAAGCTTAAGGCGCAAAATTATTGGGTCTAGCTATGGCCTGAGCAAGGTGTCTTATGCTAATTGGTTAGTGCAGGACCTTATGAGGTTTTTTTCCTGGAGTTGTTGATTCTGGGAACTTCGAGGCAGGGTGGGACCCCCGGAATTGGCAGGGTGGGACCCCATGAGGTTGTTTCCCGGAATTGGCAGGGTGGGACCCTATCAGGGTGGGACCTTATTGAGGCAGGGTGGGACCCTATCCAGAGCCACCTGGTGTTAATTTTTTAAGTTTTATAAGGCCTAGTTTCAATATACACACACACGTAATATCTGTCATATACATATAGAAACGAATGAATCTACTTTTGAAAAAATTATGTTTCTATATAATGTATGCATGAATTCCGCAAGAGAAACACAAGAGTGAGCCACAATAAACTATTTAAGGCAGTTCCCTATGGGGAGGGAAATATTTTGGTAGGGTTGGGCATGGAGTGGGGACTGCACTTGAAATTATTTATTTTACATACTTTCTTATTTTTAATACAACTAGAATGTATGCATTGCATTATCTGAGACATAAGACAAAGGGGAAATTGGATCAAAAATGCTAATATAAAATCTTAAACTACTGCAGAATGCTTTCTACGGTTTTTAATACCACACCTCCAGGATGTGGGACAAAAAAAAAAAAAAAAAAAAAAAAAAAAAAAGGACTGCCAGTTCTGCGGCTTCAAAGAAGGGTTACAAGATGCAGTCACTTACTAATAACTAAGGGAAATTGCCTCTCCTCACTTTGATGTTTTGTGACTTTCATGGCCCTTCACAGAGACTTTCTGGGTCACTATGCTCTCCTCTTCCTTCTGAACTGCCCTAATCATCAGTCACTTAAGTATCGCTGTGAGTCAGATTTTAACGATAAGGAATTTTGTTTTTTGCCAGTGAAGAGATTTTCTGAGATAATTCTAATCATGTGAGGGTAGTATTAGTAGATTTTTGGGAATTGTCTGGGAAAACAGTCTCTTTTGAAAGCATTCCAGTTAGTGTCCAGGATAAGTGAATATTTGCTATTTATTATGTATCCAGCAGAGTCTTGGGTTACATACTTTAAAAATACATGGTTTTCCCAACTTGATCAACTTGTAAACTCCTACAGGAGGATGACCAACATTCTCCATCTGCCTAGGACCGAGGAGTTTCCTGGGATGCAGGACTTTTATGCAAAACCAAGAAAGTCATTAGCAAATTGAGACCAGTCAGTTATCCTACAGGCAAGGAGAAGACGAGTTAATGCAACAAATATTAAATGCCCAGCCAGTACATGTGGTGTACACTATGTTATAAACTAGAGATTACAGTAGTGAGCAAGACACACACATAAACAGTTCCTGCCCTCATAAAGTCTCTTCTTGAAAGGAGAAAAGTGTGATACTGATTATGCCACATGGTTTTATGTACATTGGTTAAGCACTTTTGACCCTTGGGGAGAGAGAGCCTCTCTCTCTGTAGAAAGTTTTTGTGAACTAGAAAGGACTTGAGCAGATTCTCAAAAGGATGCCTGGCTTTTCATTCACTCAGCTCATTGTACATAAGTGGGCCCTCATCAGATGTTTGTTGAGTTAAACTGACGTGATGTTTGGAGCAAACTTTTTGTTCACAGATTGGGACTAAAGAGGAGGAAAAAGTCATATGGATTGGAGTCTGGCTTCTGTGTTGGGCAGATGCTCAAATGTAGTCTCATGCTCTGAAGTCTTGTCCTCTGGCTCTCCAATTCAGGAAACAAAATTTTAACTATTCATTTACTTAGAGACATTGGGCTCTGAAGAACTGATTCAAAATAATTTGCATTTGGGTATGCAGCTATTAGGTAGAGTTAATATTTATGTACAACAATCATGGCTATCACTTTTTGGAATCAGCTGTGAAAAGTGATAACCCAAAAGATGTGGGAGAACCAAGAATGATGATTTGGAGCCTTTAGTGAATATTTTTCATTAAACTCTGGGGGCCTGATGACACATTATTTGTTCTGTGTGCCAAAACTGCCA